TCAGTGCTGCAGGGGAGAGAGATGGCATGATGCTTCCAGACCACAGAGAGTGGTCGGGGAGGTTGGTTTTCTTGTTTATAACACTAACTTTAGGAGCCTTGATACTTCGTCATATGTTTTACTGCTTCTGCTACTGACATTGCAACGTCTTAGAAAAATCAAACTATGTTTTAGTGCATTTTGTTTGTTTGTTTGTTTGATTTTATTTTTCCCTTGGAGAAAAATATCTATTCTGTTACTTTGCTGGAATGCCAAAAATATTAATTAGCTACACTAGCTGGATGGAGTGGGAAGAAATGGCTTGATAAGAATATTCCAGGATGTGGTTGCTTTTGAGGGTGCATTTCTGAGTTCACCAGGGAAATTTGCTCCCATCAGCACATGTAACATCACACAGAGCTGGCAGGAGCACAGTGAGGAACAGAGTGGACTAGAAGGGCAGCCTGATGCTGCAGAGGACATCTCTCCTGGGTAAGTGGATGTGACTCACAGTGAAAGTCAGATTTTCTAATCTTGGTTAGAAAAGAAAAAGTAGGAGTAATGTTATGAGGCAGTAGATTCAGATCAACATGATACCGTCTGAAAACCAAGTGGCTTTTCTTTGTCAATGCCTGGAAGACATTTACTTCCCTGGAGTGCAGAGTTAATGCTTCTGCTTAGAGAGTCCTGTCCCCACTCCCCTCACACTGAGCTTTCTAGCTGGACTTGGAGCACCCTGAGCTTTTTCTTAGCAAGGCAGTACCTTCCTTCAAAGCATATTCTTCCATGTTGTACGGATATGGATTTTTCTGGAACTGTTATATATTGGAGATTTTATATATTAGAGATCATGTGGCTTCGTGAGGGGCTGATCTTCACACAGCAAGGAAGACGACCGAGTGATGGAGACATTCAGACTCCGTGACTCACAATGGCAGCACCTCCTTAACTGTCTGTCCTTGCTGCTGCCACCCAGTCGTGTCTTCCACCTAGTCCAGCCACTGTGTTAGGAATTTGGGGTTGGTATTTCAGGGAGTAAAAACAAAACTGAGGCAGAGTAAGTTACTGAACACAGTAATTGCAAAGGCTTTAGGGTCAGGCCAACCTCAATCAAATCTTGCTAGCTGTGTGGCTATGGATAAGTCTTTTTTTTTTTTACTTTATTTTATTATAGAGATGTGGGGTCCAGGTCAGGATTAGGTACGTAAATAATCTATGTGCAGGTGAAGTTTGGGCCTTCAACTGGCCCTCAACTCCCTTGATTAAGGTACCCTCTGGATAAATTTCTTAACCATACATGCCTCAGTTTCCACGTCTGTAAAATGGGGATAAAATTCACCTACGAAGAGTTACTAAAAGGTTATTGAGTGCGATAGTGTATTTGAAGTATTTTCAATATAATGGTTGGCCCTTAGAAAATTCTCCTTAGCCTATAGCTATAATCAGCATCACTTTCCCTGGGACAGTTAAAGAAGGTTTCCAGACCATTTTTTCCTTACTTGACTGACCTCTCCTCTGATCCCAGTGGCCAATTGGTTGCAAATAACAGCTTACATAAAAAGGCAAATACATGAATAGGAAATATATTAGAAAAATAGCATAATTGTGTGTGTGTGTGTGTGTGTGTGTGTGTGTGTGTGTGTGTGTGCAGAATCCAAGGAAGAATTGAAAAACCATGACTTGGAAGGGTGGGCCCTCTCTGAGCTCTTGGGCAGTGGGTATTGAAGATTCTTCTTCCTTCAATATCTCTGCTATGAATGGCTCATGGTTCCCAATTCCCAGCCTCTGTGTCTATCTGCTCAAATTCCAAATTCCTAGAAACCGAATATCATTAGCCCTGCTGTAGCCTGGAGATGGGAATAAGGGGTACGATCCTTGAGACTTGGCTCCACCCCTTTCCTGGATCAGGTATCATATAATTTTCCAGAGCTAGGCAAACATTTTTTAAAAGGTGATTATTACAGCATTTTACTCTAGAGTGTGTTTTTTATTCTCATTGATTTTCACTTTACTTAGGAGTTGTATCATTACAAATTAGTCTTTCTAAATTAATTTTTATATATGGAAAGAATTTAAAATACCATCCAAAGAAATTCTCTAGTGAGCAACTTTATAATGTGAGTATTCCCGTTTAAAATGTAGATTTTATTATTCAGGTATGGTAAGGACAACAGGTCAGGAAGCGGTTGGCATTGAGACAACCGTTCCTCACAGTTCCCAAGAGGAAAGGGCCACCACACCACGCAGGGCCACATGGGCAACATCAAGGTGAGGCAGGAGGCAGAGGGAGTCAAAAGAAATGTGGGCAAAGAAAGGTTGAGGCAGGTTGTGCAAGTCTAGGATTAGCTAGTCTGAATGATTTCAGGGGCGCTGGGCCATCGCAGTTTTTTCTAGTTTCTGGTGCCTGACCTTGGGGTGATTAGTACAAGGGGACTGTGGCTCAGAATGTAAGTGCCAAAGAGAGTGGTGGGGCATGGACTCTGGATGGCTTAGTTGGAAGTGTGAAGGGCACACTCCTGGAGAGTTGCTTGCTGTCTTTAGGAATTAGCTAACCCTGGGAAGGGAGTCCCTCTAGTGTCGGCAAAGCCCCAGATGTCAAAGCATCAGAAACACAGAAAAAAGGAAGGCACAATTAATACAACCCCCCACCTCCAATCACTTTTGTAAATTTCCATGTGAAATCCAGTTTTCTAAGTTATCAACTGGCCTAGAAGCTCTTACCAGGGTCTAGCCCTCTGTGGTGAACTTGACCTCCTCCCACCCTCTCGCCCTTCTTCCTCCCTGGGGTCACACGGGCTCCCTGGCAGTCCCTTGAACACGTCAGGCACATGTCCTGTGGGCTTATGGAATCGACTGGAAGGCTTTCCCTCCACACATCATTGGACTTCCCTCCCTCTTCCCTTCAGGCATTTGTTCACATGTCATCTTCTCAGTGAGGCTCACCCCATGGGCCTACTTAGTACTGCTGCCAGCACTGCTCCTAACCCCTCCTCTGCTCTGCTGGTTTCCTCATAGCACCTTTCATTGTTAGCATCTTTTGTGATGTGCTCACTTCATCTGCCTATTGTTTGCTGTTTGTCCTTTTACCACCACATGTTCATCAACACACCTTCAGCAATTAAAAACAGAGTTTCTAAAGATTAGTGATATCTGTAGCAATGTCCAACAGGAGAATAGAGTTGTGTTCTTACTGTATTGGTCAAATATGGAGACATGATGGCCTCAAGGAAATACAGACTGGAGATTCTTATTTAGAAATATTAATAATTCAGCCAGACAGATGAGGGACAAGAAGTTCGTTTGCCTTCTCTGGATTTTAGGCTCTGTGTGTTGAGTTTCTCATATAAATCCATAGCTACACCATGCAAGGGACTATTGACTTTTTGCACTGGCCAGGTTATTCTACCTGATTTTTCTCATTGTGGCTCCCTTGTTGACAGTTTGGTTTGAAGGCTTTTTTGTCATTATCAAAATCTGCAAGGCTGTGTTCTTCTCTTTTCTCAAGAGAGCTTCTTCCTGCTTCATCCTAGAGGGAGCTCTGTGGCTGGAGATTTTAGGAGCATCCGGGCCAAACAGGGGAGACCCCAGCCAAGATGAGCCCTTACAAGTGTAGCTGCTTCGTATATTATTGGCCTGTGATTTTTAAGCCACATGCTAAGAAGGAAATGCCAAAATCATGCTGAAAAATACATTCTTTCTCTTCTGGAAACATGACATTTAAAAACAGAAAATGATTCAAACAAACTATAAAACAAATGGCATATATGAGATATACAGATATTTATTGATATTAAGGAACTATTGAGGAGATTTAGGTATGAAATGGTTTGTGGTTTTGTTAATTTTAAAAAGAATCTTTATCTTTCACAGATGCATATGGGTGAAATAAGATAACTGGGTTTGCTGCAATCTAATATGAGAGCTGGGAGGTGGGCAGGGTTAGAGGGGAACCCACATTGGTTTGGGGTTGGTTATTGATGAAGTTGGGTGATGGATACATAAGACCCATTAAATTACTTTTCTGTGTATTTTCTACTTTTCTATATATTTTCAATTAATAAAATATTTTAAAAATGTAATAATTGGACAGTTTGGCTTATTTCTGATTATAAACAAGGCACATTCAGTATTTCACCATGATGAATAATATTGACTATTGGCTTAAAAGCTCTTCGTGTGGAGAAACTGCTACTCTTTCATTCCTAATTGTTTAAACCAGAAGTGTATGTGGAAGAATATTAAATGCCTTATCAATATCTTGAGATTATGATAGGGTTTTCTTATTAGACCTATTGCTGGGAGGTAGTCTTACTTCTATTAATAGTAAAGCCCTCCTGCATTTCTCAGAAAACCCCAAATATTGACTGAGGATCTAGCAAGAGCCAGCCATGTGCTGAGCACAGGGAGTGCAGCAGGGAATGAGACAGGGAAGCCCTTGCTCTTCTGGTACCCAGTCCTGTAGGGAGAGAGGCCATAAAGTTATACATACGCTCAGGTCATGGTGAGCTGTCTCAGGTCATGGTGAGCTGTCTCTGGCTTCCTGGCTGGCAGGGAATCTGGTTCCAGAGTCCAGAGGCTTCTTTCCTGGGGGGAGAGGGGGAGGGGTGTGGGAGGTGGCTGTTTCCCAGTGAGGCAAATAGAGGCAAATATTCCTCAGTTTAGCTCCATCAGCTCCAGGGATAATTGACTCAGGTTAGAGTGTGGTTGCCCTGGAACTAAATCTGCATGCTGTATATATGAACTATACTCTAACCTGTGTTGGTTATCCCATTTACATTAAAAAAAAAAAAAAAACTAATTAGGAAATTAAGAATACTTGTCATTGCAGTGAATAGCAACCACCACCAGGCACCTTCTCAGCCCCCAAGCATTCAATTCTCACAGCTAACTTAGGTGGCACAGCAAGAGAAACTGTAGGCCAAAGAGGTGAAATAACTTGTTCAGAGACCACTGTAACCAGGTGGAGGTGTTTGAACCCAGGCAGCCGCCCCATTTTTGACCCATATACCATAGGCCTGATTTTTAACTGGTGTTTCTGAGAATGATGATTCCTGTCGAGATGCTCTTTTTGTTGTTTCAGGTTTTGCTGATCTTTGCAAAGGAAGATAGTCAGAGCGATGGCTTCTGGTGGGCCTGTGACCGAGCTGGTTACAGGTGCAATATTGCTCGAACTCCTGAGTCAGCCCTTGAATGCTTTCTCGACAAGCATCATGAAATTATTGTCATCGACCACAGACAGACCCGGAACTTCGACGCAGAGGCAGTGTGCAGGTTCCTTTCCTCGTTGAATATGCTTAATCACTGTTCACTTATTAGCTTAAAATGAACTTCACTTACAGATGTCTTTCTCTTTCAAATATTTCTAAAATATGAATTGATGTCTCTAAGCAGTATATACAAAGCTCCACGGTGAGAGCTATAGCTCCTTCCTGTGGATTCCTCTCGCCTCTTCTACTTCTCCACATTTGAGTTGCACTAAATTTAGAGGTGTGAGCTGGGCTCTCCTGAACACTTCAGGGTATTCCCCCCACCCCATGTATATTGCTCATTAAAAAAACATTAAAATTCACACCATTCTCATTATACAGATACGGGTTGGATTTAAACCAGCTATTTTAATCTTCATTATTCTGTCCCAAAATGAGCATCAGAAATGTGTGAAGTATGGATTTTTCCCTGCCTTACACAGATGGATAGATCCCACAGCAGGCTTCCCCATCACAGAGTGAAGGCAGCCATTTGGCAGCAGCAGGAACTCTTCCAGGGACCCCAGCCCCTGCTTGTGTACAGACGAGCTTGCACCCTGGGGAGGAGACACAAGCCCCATCATAAATAAACATGCAGTCCTGAGAGTGAGCTCTGGATTGGCTGATTCCTTTAGCAGAAGTGGAATGCTTTGAAGCCAACGGGAAGAGTTCACTAATTAAACACTAGGCCAGGACAGAGTCCAGTTGCATGCGGAGCTGGAATTTTCTTGAATATTTGCAAAGAAACTGAAAGGTGGGAAATGGTTTCTCAGAACCTTCAGTACCCTGACAAGAAATTCATGAGCTAAGAGAAGTTTCTTATCATGGGAATCACCTTGCTGTTTTTGAAAAATGACTTTTAGTTTCCCAAATAATAATTTTTCTCAATTAAAAATTTTTTTTTGGTCTCAAAATGTTTTTAAAATGTTTTAGTGGTCTCAAATAACCTCACCTTTCTGCATGGAAGTGGTTTCCTATTTAAGAATATATATAACTATACATTCAACATATAAAATATTTGAATGCTATTCTCAGTATTAAGAGGTTTTTTTAAAAAATTATTTTCAAGGTAGAATTGAGTCCTATATAACTATGTCTGATTTTTCTTGGTCTTCACTTACTTTTCTTACATGGTTGTGTATTAGACACACCACAGCTCTTTGTTCATGCATAGAATGATTTATGCATAGAAAAGTTTTAATTGTAAAGTAAAAATTAATAGGAAGAAATCTTTTCATTCAGGCAAAGGATTTACACTCTTCTTCGAATCTGAAGAGATAGGTTTGTTTCCTAACAAATGTATTTCTGTCTTAGCTGCACAGATAAACAATGGGGGAGTCTATGCCATTCTGAAGTTAGGGATATACATCTGGCCAGGTTCTGAGTGCTTGCCTCCCAGCACATATGCTCTAGGGAGAAGGATGGGTGGCACACTCCTGGCAGATGTGTATTCTATATTGTCATCTGTGCCCTGGATCCCTGGCCCTTTATCTGGTCTGGACCTCAGCCTAACACACCTCTTTCTCTCAGGTCTCCAAGGAAGAAGTGTAGGTCTCTCTTAGCACATGAGTTCCTTGGGAGGAATGAGAGGGAAGAGGCAGACAGCAGGAAGCAGCCCCAAACACAGAAACCCATCCCAGAAGAAACCATGAGAGTGTGTGCGCCCGCCTGGTTATGCCATTACGTGTCTCAGTCTCTTGCCTGAGACTCACCCCTTCGTAGGTAGCACGCCCATGCTGCTTCACTGGCGGGCGGGCAGGCTGGGTGAGGGTGAAATGCACCCAGTGTTTCCCTGGACACCAGAGCATGTCTCTGAAACCCTGAATAGTTTTCTCATCAAGTGCTGACTGCTGTTTCTGGAAGTATCCAGTAGGCTCTTAGGTGTAAGATAAGTATATCTTCGCCCTCCATGTGGGTGGTGGGTGGTGGGTGGGACATCATCTCTGCTGGTGGCACGGGAGGTTTCCTGACTTGTCCCTCCTGCTCCCACCCTGGGAGTTGTAGCATCCTCTCCAGAGGAGCGCTTTCAAATACCATTTCTCCAAGTGGGGAAACTTTACTTCCCAGGAACTCGGCAGCTGATGATTTTCTTGAACCTTCTGTCCACAGGGAGTGAGGTATCAAGAAACAAGACACGGAGAAGGTACAGAGTTTTGAGAAAGGCCAGGGAATTTTGGAGTTGAAGAGGATGAAGGAGTATGAACCGACTGTCCCTAGGGGAGCAGTAGTGCGCACACGTTAAAAGTGGAGAGGAGCAGAATGCCCGTAGCCAGAGAGAAAAACATATACATGTTGTCTCACAGAGAACTCAGGAGTATTTCTGTGCTTGGAGATGATGGTTTCCCTCCAAGGAAACTCAGAGTAAGCAGAGGGCAACCCCAGGGAAAAGGTCAAAGCAAGCATGCTGATTTGCACTGAGAGTCAAGTATGTGGCCTTTTATTAAAAGTTTGTCCAGGCTGGGCTCGGTGGCTCAGCCTGTAATCCCAGCACTTTGGGAGACTGAGGCGAGCGGATTGCCTGAGCCCATGGGCTTGAGACCATCCCCAGCAACTTGGCGAGACCTGGTCTCTACAATAAATAAAAAATTAGCCAGGTGTGGTAGCACACGCCTGTATTTCCAGCTACTTGAAAGGCTGAGGTGGAAGGATTGCCGGCGCCCAGCAGGTTGACACTGGGGTGGCCGTGAGTGTGCCACTGTACTCCAGCCTTGGCAACAGAGTGAGACTCCAACTCAAAAAAAAAACCAAAAAAACAAAGAAAAAAAGTTTGTTCAATTCAAAATCCCCTTACCAGAATAGTCTGGAATTTGGGCTATAGCATAGCATAGCTAAGAAGAGTCACAGACCTCAACATTTTATATTCTTATATATATTTTTTTCTAGTTAAATTCCTAGAGAATAAACTGTCTACAGGTGGTCTTAGTACAACAAACATCATTATACTGTGACAGTTACTATATTGCAACATTTCCCAGCCCCAGCTGATGGTCAAGTTGTTTAGATTATTTAAGCACAAGCAACAGTAGGACTGAAAAATTTGAGTGGCTCTTTGTACCGTCCTTAATAGACTTTAACTTGCATTTGCACATCCAGCTTCCAGCAAGGTTTTAATTTGTAGTATAAGGCCAACTTTCTGAATATCTATTTAAAAAGGGAAAAGATCCAACCCAATTAGCTCCCCCAGGTACATACTGATAAGAAGAGGATTGCAAGACTGCCAATTTTTTTTTTTTTTTTTTTCAGAGTGGAATTTTAATCAAAGAACATGGAATTTAAGTGGAATTTGCCAATTTCTGAAGTGGAAAATTGGCAGGTCTGACCTGTTGGATAATTGCCTGGGAGTTCAAAAAAAGTTTTTATTAAATAAAATGAAGGGATTGTTCTAACCCACAAGGGCATCTTTCTTTGTTGTCTTCCATGTGTTTTGAGACCTTTGATTAGAGAAAGATTTGATCTTGTGCCATTTTCACTGTGAAGAAGTTCCACATTCCCTGACGGTAACAAAGCCCAGATGCCCTTGTTTGACTTGGAGCCTTCTCGTTGCAGGTCGATCCGGGCCACAAACCCCTCTGAGCACACGGTGATCCTCGCGGTGGTTTCTCAAGTGTAAGCGCACCTCCTGTCCCTGCTGAAAGGAGTTCTGTTCATTCTGAAACACTCGTCTGATGTCATTCAGTCTTTGCACTTAGCAAGGCCATGGGCTTATTCTGGACCCTAAAACCATCTTTAGATCTTGCTCTTTTGTTGTTGTCGTTGTCATTGATTCACAAGTTCCTATAAATATTTAGGCTTTTCTATCATATATGAATGTCCTTAGCACATACTCATGCACCTCAAGAAAAAAAGTTCACTTGTTACGTGCCAGAAATTAATGGAAAATCTGAGAAGGAGGAAGTCTGGAGAGAACATTGTCCCAGTCTGTCTTTTTTCTCTGAAGAAAAGAGATGGGGATACGCTTGTTTTCCATTTAAGAAGAAATATATTTCCTTCCTGTCCAAGAATGAGAACAAAGAGGCACTAAATCCACCATAAGACAAGGATTGTGAAGTTGATGTCAAGACTGTTATGTGGCTAGAAGCAGGATGCCAGAGTCGTATTGGTACCATTCTGCTGGTTTATCGTCTAAAATGGCCAGCACTTAACATGAAAGAGCCAGCAGGAAGAAAGTTGTTTGTACCAGCTACAGTGTGGGAGTCTTGGCAAGTGCTGCAATGCATGTAGTCACTTAATGACTGTCATTAGCTTCAGAAAGAATAAGACCTTAATTAGGGCTTAGGACCTGTTGGACTTGACCTCTCTCTAGCATTTGGGACAGATTTTGCACCAAGGGAGCTGGCAAGTCAGGAACTCAGACAAGAATGCTTAGGGCTCCCCCAGGTAAACCTGGCCCCAGGGAGACTTGAAATACTTCATTCCAAAGCCAGTAGGTACAGTAGGAAGTCATGGCTTAGTCTTGCCTTAGGAAAGGCTCCTGTTTACCTGCTCCTCCTTGAGCTGTGTCTCTTTACCTTGTCTAATAGGCTGTGAGCCAAAGAAAGTGAAGACATTGCCCCCATTGGTTCCATATACTCTGCTGTCTTGTTGGGAGTGAGGTGACTGAGATACGAAGTCAGCCTCTTTATACCCTCTTTCTTAGGTTTGTCTTCCAGACACTCTGCGATCTGAGGTCTTAGAGACACCAGAGATGTACCAGGCCACACAGCCTCTTCCCCAGGCCTGGCATACTCATGGGCCCAAGGACGAAACACTCTTGTTTTTCCTCTTCATAGCAAAAACGTTTACTCATCCGACAAACCATGGCTTACTGTGGCTTATTTGTTATGATTGCTCACCTTTTTCCTTTTTTATTGTAAAAGAGTTCATAGAGAGGGAGAGTAATAAGAAAACGAATGCCTGTGTCTGTGTCACCCAGCTTAAGAAATAGAACATTAGTAATACCTTTGGAATCCTTTTTTGTCCCCTTCCTGATTTATCATTCAGAGAAGGTAGTACCTGGCGTTCCCGAGGGGAAAAGGGAGCAAGAGACAGCTTTTCCCTGCAGGGCAGGAGTCAGCTGTGGGCGAGGCCACAATAAGCACTGGGACTTCTCTTCCCGTTTTCTCTCTGCATTTCCACCCAAGCCCTTTTTTTTTCCATTTTCTTCCCTGATTTTCAGGGTGTGTACCTCCTGTCAGGTGCTGGCTGTCTTAGGATACCGTGTCTCTCCTGTCACGGTGAGAGCCGGTGACAGCTTGTCCTCATGACAAGTCGACCCACTCCTTCACCTTGTATTCCAACTGAAATCCCGAGACCCCGCTGTAGGCTCAGTCTAGGAAACCGTCTTGTGAAGCAAGTGACGATGACCCATTTTTGTTTTCCTTTCTTCCCTTTAAGAGGCATTCCTGCTGACACTACTCTGCCTCAGGCAGTCTTCCTTACTTGGAGAATTGGACCCAGCCAGGTCTTGCTTCCAGAAGGTTTGGAGACAGTGGTCTTGTGATGAGCAGTGTGCCTAACATGTCCTTTTATGGAACTGCTCCCATACATTTGCTACGACCCCAGAGGGCAGCCCAGAGCTGAGGAGGGCATTCACGTGTGCCCGGTGTAACACTTCCAGGCACACTGCTGGAGTTCCTCTTCTGTTTTTGTTCTTTGTGAATCTGGAAGGCAGATGTCGGGCCTCTGTCCTTGAAGGCAAGGGTACTCTGTGGCACATGGTGGCAGGAAGCCGTTCTCAGTGCGAAGGCTACGTGGCCTCACTGCGCTCTCTCCATATTCCAGTGGGGAATCCTGGTTCATGCCTGCTGCGTGACCACATTTTCTGCTTTGTTGCAGGTCGGACGACCACGAAGAGGCCTCAGTCCTCCCTCTTCTCCATGCAGGCTTCAACAGGGTATGTATTTGATGTCAGCAGGTCTCTCAGGTGCAGGTGCCTCACCCCAAGCTACCCCCTAACAGCAAAGCAGAACAATTGCGGGAAAGGATTAAGGGAACAAAGCCCAGAACTGGTGGGAAAGGAAGTAACTGTTCCCACAGAAGAGAAAAAGGGTGACTGCTCCTCAGGCTTTGTGCCTTTTTCGCTCTCTGGGTTTTACCCATATCTTAGCAACAGACGTGTAATAACATAAAACACATCTTATTATAGCAGATCAAAATTCTGTAGTCCCAAGTAATCTCATTTAAATCAGTTCCATCAACGCCTGTGTGTAGTCCACCAAATGGACACCCAGGGCCTGGCCCAAGCTTGTACCCTACAGTACAACTATAATATCCTCTTAATTCCTGGTACAATTAAGTCATTAACATCAGCAGAGTAAATTCTCTGAGTGACAACTACATGAATAACACTGATAGTCAACTTGAAGTTTAGGATTGATTATTTTAAATAGACTTACCAGCAAGCTTAATAACTCGACTCACCAGTATCTCTAGGTCTTTTGATAAAAGTAATTGGAATGTCAAATAGATGATATGACATAGTCTTTCAAAAATGGGGTGCTGTCTGAGTCTTGTGAATGATGAAAATCCTCTGGGTAGTAGTGCTTTGCTACCCCAGGCTTAAAATATATATAACTCTTAGTTGTAGACCACGGAGAAGCAGAAACTACCTTTATGATGCAGTTGTTTTGTGCTTTGGCATGCTTCAGGGTGGGAGCAGTGGGGCCAGAAAAGATTCAAGGTAGCGCAGTGTTCACAATGCGCAGTAGGAAGGAATGTTTCTGACTGGTGATATTCCTCACACTCCTAACACTTCCTCTTGTCTGTCATCCCTTCTCGCAGAGGTTGGCATTTGGCTCTGAAAACTGCTTCTTATGTGCTGTAACTTAATGAGAATGCAGAAGATAACGCTTGAAATGGAGAGTTGCAAAAGAAAAATCAGCAAAAAAAGCCGTGTGGCCAGACTTACTTTGCTTTAGGCTCATTTTCTAAGAAACAACTCAGAAATGCGTTGCAGGCCTAATCGATTGTCTGCGTCATATTGCCACCCCACCCCACTTCGTTCCAGCGCTCTGCTTGTCAAACCTGCCTCAGGACCTCACAGAGTGTGGGGCGTAGGTTTCCTCATACCTGAAGGGTGACTGGAGAATGGCAATGAAGCACTGTGAGTTTTATCGATTAGGACCCACAGACGTGCTGTTGAGTGTCCTTTTGCAATTCTGCTTCTAGTTCAGTGGTCCTGCTTCAAATTGGCTTAGAGATTGGTATCATTTGAAGTGATGGCATCTCGTCTGGAGGGCTGAGATTGCACATCTGCCCACAGAAAAGCTTGGGAGAAACAGTTGGCACTCTTTGGGTGCACATGCTGCTAAGAAAATTTAAGAAAAGTTCCATAGTTTCCTTCTTAAGCATTTTGTAGCCCACCCCTGCTGCTCTGGGAGATTTCATTTTCCTCTGTCCAGATATGTTCTGAGTTTTGCAGTCAGCCACAGTGGTTGCAGCCTTTGGTAGGAGCGTGAGCAGCAGTCCTTGGCAGGGACCACCTCCTGTTCTTGAGTGCTGGCTCAGACTGAGGCCGTTTGCCGGTTAGGTTAGGGTGTCCCCAGTAGCTTGGGCTCCTGCCGGGGGTAACACGCTGCACCTGCAGTGGCTCCCCTGTGCTCCTGCAGCACGCTGTCAGCTAAGGCTGAGCTCCAGGTGGCTGGTCTCCTTTTTTGGGCAAAATCCTGTCTTTGGCTGCTCTCCTTCCAAGCACCTTTCCAAATATGCCAGTTATTCTTGCCTCCTGTGAGGTTGTTTCTCATCTCCACATTGTTTTGGCTGTGTTAAATCATCTGCTGAAACTTGGTGCTGTGTGGCTAGCACATTGGTCAGTGCCTCAGTTTGTGGGCCCTGAGTGGGGGTCCAGGAACAAATGGTCCCATCAGATATCCCACAGTGACTTCCCTTGAAGCCATGGGCTATGCGTGAGTGGCTGGTTGTGATACAGATTTTTCAGGTCAGCCTGGGCTTCGATAGTGTCAACTCAATGGGTCAGCCAGCCAAGCCCCAGAGAGGGTCCTCAAGGGGCTGGTAAGCCTAGCCCCAGAAGTGTCAGCTCTAATGGGGTGGCAAGCCAAGCCCTGAGAGTGTTGTGATTTGATGGGCTGGCAAGCCTAGCCCCTGGAGTGTTGGCTCTAATGGGCTGGCAAGCTAAACCCTGAGAGTGTTGCTGGTTTGGTGGGTTAGCAAGCCTAGCCCCTGCAGTGTCTCAGCTTTGGAGTTTCGACTTCTTCTGGCAGCTCTCCTGGTTCAGACGGCTCCAACAATCTTCTGCAGCTCTTAAGGTTGCAGCTCTTCAGGATTGAGGTTCTTGTCTCATACCCAGGAAGAATGAGGGACACGGACAGTCAAAAAGTGAGAAAGCATGATTTATTGAGAGGACAAAGAAGCTCCCAAGGTGGGAGGGGACCCCAAGGGGTTATCCATCTTTGGGACTGAAACCTGGTGCTTATGTAGCCCTAAGTCTAAGCCAATTGGCTAGCACTAGCTGTGAGTGTAGCTGTTCTGATTGGTCAGTATTAAGGTAGAGACCTAATGGTGAGCTGATTGGTTGCTTTTTGAGCCCAGCTGTGAGTACTTAAGCTTTAGCTGAGAAGCCCACAGAGAGCTTGTTTACCAAAGCGGGGAATTCCCTGCATTGTTACCAGAGGACCCACCTGTCTGTCTGCCTAGCCTTTCTCTAGCTATCTCCTGTCTCAGCTGCACCGGTGCTCTGTCCATGCTGAGCCTTTTAGAAACCAGCACCTTAGCAAGGGACAGTTGCAACTGTTCTTATATCACCTTTGTGTGCCCCTCTTTCTGTTTGAAATGATGTTTGTCCTGTTCAACAAGTATCAGTGGAGCTCTGACTATGTGCAATGCAGTGTGTTAGGCATGCTGGGGCACGACTTAAGGACCTAGTTCTCCCTGGAGTGGCTTCTGTGGGGTAAGAAGTGAGAGGCTAACAACTTATTATCTGTCAGGCCCAGTTCCCGGTGATTTACTTAATCCACCTCTACATATGAGGGATTTGATATTTTCTCCATTTTTTGCAGAGGAGGACGCGGGCTCAAAACAACTGAATAGCTCACCAGAGCTCACATTCATGACAAAGTCAAGAAGCAAATGCAGGTTGTTTAACCCCAAACTCTATACGAAGTTCACCAAAGTAGTGCTTCCCAAACTAGTGTTTCACAGATCACGGTTGTTCCAAAAGCTCTCACAAGTAGTCCATGAAAAAAAAGTTTTTATGGTCAAATCAGTTTGGGGCTTGAGGGAAGACTTGGTTCTTCCTCCTGGTCCTGAGAATCCACAGAGCAGGTTACCCACATTGCACGTTAGCGTTCTGAGTGCTCTGAGAAGTCCTGTAGTAAAGAAATCTGCTGACGTTGTTTATGCCAACTTTTTCAAAACTTATTTTTATCACAGAATTTTTTTTTTTTTTTACAAAGCACCAGTTAACCACACTCAGAGCTCTGTTATAGGCTGATATATAATTTTTACCCATCTAGAAGCTCAAGTTGAACCTAACCATTTTTAAAACAAAGAGAAAATATTTCCCTTCTGTGTATGTTTATGACTTCCTTTCTTTCCCTAACCCTTCCCAGCTTTCACACAGAAGCGTGGAAGCCCAGAGGCCCCAGAAAGCTGGGGAGAAGTGTGCGCGCGCGCGAGGTGTGTTTGTGTGTGTGTGTGTGTGTGTGTGTGTAAGGTGTGGGGACAGGGATTGATTCTGGGGAGAAGTGCGCGTGCGCGCGTGAGGTGTGTGTGTGTGTGTGTGTGTGTGTGTGTGTGTGTGTGTGTGTACAGGGATTGATTCTTTCTCTGCCCAACATGTTTGAAGGAAATCTAAGAAGTAGTACTCTCAGCATTTGGAGTACTTTGGAAATCTGATTATCTTTCTACTCAATAGTTTGCCAGCCATGTGCTTAGAAAGATTTGCATGATGTGTGTTTTTTTATAAATTAAAATACATGTTTTTCCTTTCCTAAGCAGAACTGTCCTTAAACCTATTCCCTTACCATTTTTACTTGCTACTTTACCTGATTTTATTATTTCTCACTAAGTATTGCATGTTCGTGTAAGAGAAGTGCTCAATTTTCTATATACCCTCCACTGAATAATGTAGCATGTCTCAGAAATATAAAACAAATTACTTTAGGATTGAGTGAAAAAAGTCCTGCTCTCCTCCAAGCACTGGACATGAGCAGCACATGCCTAATAGAAGTGGATGCTTAATGGTTCTTTGGGTGAATGACAGTGTCTATTCTCTTTCCTTCAGCTTTATCATTTGCTTATCTATCTACATCCATCCACTTAGTTTTCTTTTTTTTTCTTCTTTTTTTTTTTGAGTTAGAGTCTCACTCTGTCACCCAGACTGGAGTGCAGTGGCCGCTCCTGGCCACCGCAGTCTCGACCTGCTGGGCTCCGGTGATCCTTCCACCTCAGCCTTCCAAGTAACTTAGTTTTTAAAATAAATACATGAAAGCTCTTTTTTCAATTGAGATGAAACTAAAATCAGCTATTTTAAAGTAAACAATTCAGTGGCATTTAGTACATTCATAATGCTGTACAATCACCTCATCTATCTCATTCTGAAACATTTTAATCACCCCAGATAGAAGCTGTGTTTCCATCCAGTAGTCACTTCCAGTCCTCTGCCCCCAGCCCTGGCAACTACCAATCTGCATTTTGGCTCTATCGATTGACCTAGTCTAGATATTTCATATAAACAGAATCATACTTACTGTATGTAACTTTTTATGTCTGGGTCCTTTCACTTATTGCTTTTTTGTGGCTTACACATGTTGTAGCATGTATCGGTATGTAATTTCTATTTCATGGCTGAATAATAATCCATTTACGTATATACCACAATTTGTTTATCAGTTCAGCGGTTGGGTTTTGGGGCTTTTTCTACCGGCTGGCTACTGTGACTAGTGCTACTGTGAGCATGCATGTACAAGTATTTGTTTGAATACTTATTTTCGGTTCTTTTGGGTATATACCTAGAAGTGAAATTACCAGATCATGTAGTGATTCTACACTAACTTTTTGAGGAACCCTCAAACTATTTTCCACAGTGACTAAATCATTCTGTGTTCCTGCCAGCAAAGTACAAGGGTTCCAATTTTTCTACATTCTTGCCAACACTTATTTTTCTAGTGGGTGTGAAGTGGTATCTCATTGTGCTTTTGATTTGCATTTCCTTAATGACTGATGATATAGGACACCTTTTCCTATGCTTGCTGGAATTTGTATATTTTCTTTGGGGAAATGTCTCCTTGGATTCTTTGTTCATTTTTAATTGGGTTGTTTGTCTTTTTGTTATTGAGTCCATCGAGTTTTAAATGCCTGTTGCATATGGGGCTCTGCATAGGCACTGAGAAGAGTAGCAAGGAAGCAGAGAGAAGCCTCTCCCCTTGAAAGAAATCACTGACAGTGTGGTGCACACTGAACGTGTCCAGTGGTGGTTTCTTGATGATTTTTATTGGTGCAATATGAAGCAGAAAGTTTCTGTAATTCACATGGTTGGGCAGGTATTCATAGCAAAGTGTATCCCACCTTTGTGCACTTAGGGCAGCTAAGTGCATGGTGTCACTTGCTCTGTTGTTTCTCAGGCATTTCGAACACCTTGTCAACTATTTTATTTCATCTCTTCTTACCTACTAGTTATCTTCTGTAGCAGAGTTACCTGGGTGTAGGAACAACTATTATGTTTCTCTATTTGACTCTAAAAAGTAACTGTGTATGTCTTATGCATTATCTTTACTTTCTTTTCAGAGATTTATGGAGAATAGCAGCATAATTGCTTGCTATAATGAACTGCTTCAAATAGAACATGGAGAAGTTCGCTCGCAGTTCAAATTACGGTATGTAACGAAATAGACAGTAACACAAGGTTAACAATTCTTTAGAAAATCTTATCTGTCAGCAGACTGATAGTCACAGGTTCATAGTTAAATCCCAGGGATTTTGAGACCTTTAAACAAGTAACGAATGGCAGCTGGTAAATAGCAGTGTCTAAAGTAGGGAACCCTTGATATAATACAATAAAATTGGAAGCATTTCTTCTTTTGACAGTATTTTCCACTATTTACAACATTTTAAAATTTTAGCCTAGGGAAATGTTTTGCACAATTAGATTAAGCTTAAGAATAACCTTTGAGGATTGCTTTCTACTTCCTATTTTCAATATTTATAAATTTTTACATGGATTGTTATGCACAGGGCTGAACCAATGGGTATGTTTATTATGCTAAATATAATAAATGCTAGGTAACCACAACAGCAATTTCATGAGGTCTGTTTTGTAGCCTCAATGTACATGAAGTATCACAAGAAATGACTTGAAGTTCTCTACAGGTATATGGTGCTTTAAGAGCTGGCTCCTTCCTGGTGCTAAGCTGCAAGATGGGATGCTCCTAGTGTCTTCTCCTAGTGTTTGACTGCAGACCAGCATGCTGGGCTGTGGGATGTTCTGCTTCTGAGCCCTCCCGGTATCCAGACTCCTGGCTCCTGCCTGGTTTTGCTCAGGCTCCACTCTATCATGCTGTCCAGACCCTGAGTTCTTCACCCCATGCCCCTCCAGCCAGAGAGCAGGGGAAGGAGGAGGCTCTCCTCTACCCATAGGCTGCCGGGAGGGCCAATTCTCAGCAGCCTCAAGCTGTGGGATGCCTGGAGAGTCCGGGCATGGCTTCTGTCTCTGGACTACTGAGAGACACAGATAGTTTCAGGCTTAGCACAAAGTAAGTGAGATAGTGGCTCACTGTAATGATTAGGCTGCTCATCTTGATGACTTGTTTTTATGCAAAGATGACAAAACTTTTAAACTGAATTCTTCTCTGCCTCTGGGACAGAGACAAAAATGGATTGGCATCAACCTATAGAAGTGAGTTGTCCTGGTGAGCAGCCTTGTCAGAAAAGTCACTTTTTGGTGGACAGAGAGCTCTAAGACCTGAAGTGTGGGGATAAATAGTCACTTTCTTAGGTGGAAAAGTATTAAAAAAGAATCTCACACAAGCGGGAAGTCAGATGTTTTGGGAATTCAGGTATTTTGACAGCCTGAATATTGCGAGGAATTTTTACAAAGACTTTTTGAATGCATAAATGAGTTAAATACCTTGGTTTCTTTATATTCATGTGTTTATTAGCTTCAGAGAACTTCGTAGAATTTTCCTAGAAAGCCACATTGCATTTGCTTCAGTAATTTGTGTCTTTTAATGATGTAGATTAATTGTTCTTATTCCTTGGGGGTCTCTCCTGTTTTTAATTGTAGATAAAAAGACTTAATACTTTAGGTTGGGTGTGCTGTCTCATGCCTGTAATCCCAGTAATTTAGGAGATGGAGATGGGAGAATTACTTGAGGCCAGGAGTTCAAGACCAGCTTGGACACCATAGTGTGACCTGGTCTCTACAAAAATTCAAAAAAAATTAACCAGATTTAGTGGCTGCTTGGAAGGCTAAAGTGGAAGGGTCCCCTGAGCCCAGAAGGTTGAGGCTGTGGTTAACTGTAATAGTGCCCTGCATTCCAGCCTGGGCAACAGTGAGACCTTGACTCAAAAAAAAAAAAAAAGACTTACTACTTTTACTGTGTATTATCTAAAACAAAAAATGAACAATATAACAGCTTATTGCTTTATTAGGTAACTCCCTTATTTTATTTTGAATAAGTACTTCTGTTTTCTTTCTTTCTTTCTTTTTTTTTTTTGAGTTGGAGTCTCACTCTGTCGCCCAGACTGGAGTGCAGTGGCCGCTCCCGGCCACTCTCAGCCTCGACCTGCTGGGCTCCGGCGATCCTTCCGCCTCAGCCTTCCTCAGCCGGAATTACAGGTGCATACTACCACGCCCGGCTAATTTTTTGATTTATTGTAGAGATGAGGTCTCGCCTGCCCAGGCGGGTCTCGAACCCGCAGACTCAGGCAATCCACTCACCTCAGCCTCCCAAAGGCACGGGATTACAGGCTGAGCCACCGAGCCTGGCTACTTCTGTTTTCTTAAGCAACATTAAATATTATGGCGTATGTAAGATGTCAGGAGGTGCGCTAATACAGATTCTATAGTGCATATGGGTATTTAGGAGGCAGACTTAGGGATGTTAGGGGCACTTTGTCCATGATAAGCAGGGCAAAAGCAGATCTGGAAATTTGGAAAAAACATCCCCAGCCAACAGAAGAAAACACTAAAAGACTCCAGATTATTGTACTGATAAAATCTGCCTAGCGCTAAGGTGCTGGAGACTTCTCAGGGTCTTATCAGATTCAGAACTTTATAAGTTTCTAAGCTCCTGTCATCATGTAAGTACTATGCCTTCCCAGCCCCCACTGCCTGTAACTATTTGGGGTATTTGAATCCATTGTTGAGGTCATGGTGAAAATCAGTGTGAAGTTGAAGAAAGCACTTGACCCAGGAAGGTCATGGCCCCAGGAAGGAGGCTTTATCTGGCACATGGGTTCTCTTACTTTCTACACAATCTTAAGCTGTTACTCTTTTTAAGGTTCTGCCTCAACCTTATCCAAGTTCTTTCCTTTTGGGGGGGGTGTGTGCACACATGTACATGGTTTGAATCTCCCCAAGTGTACTATATCTGCACACCGCAGATGGGAGACAGTGACTCAGGCCATGGCCTTCCCGCAGTTCCTTAGGACATTTAAGGACATCTAGATAATCTACCTGCACCCTGAGGCAGGCAAGCAACTCTGTCATTTGTTGCAGACTGGGAAAATGAGGCTCTTTATTATACAATGCCAGAATAATTATAGTCTAATTATATAATACTTTTCCCTACAATTCCACCCCCAGCTGCAGCTAAATATGTAGCATGACTGTCATTCTGTAAGGACAGTCTGTGCTGCAGGATGATGTTGAATGTTGAAGGTGGACACCTTTGTCCAGGTCTTCATGTCTGGTGACCACGTTTACTTAACCAAAAAACAAAACAGATCATCTGATCTGAGCAAACACAAGATATGGTCTAATTTAAAATTCCATTATGTAGAATAACTTTTAAAGATATGAGAACGAAATCATGTTTCTCATCTCTGTGTATACCTGAGGAATTACTCTGTTGAACAGAAGAATTCATGAAATGAGTGTCTAGGATAATTTGGGCTAAATGATGAGCATTTATCTCTTCTCCTGTTCTTACACCTCTTTATCATGAAAAGACCTATCTTATCTAAAATAAAGATAATGATTTAACTACTTATTAGTTTAAGCTGTTCAGTTTATACTAATGCAGTACCAGCTATTGTTTGAGTCATTAGTCAGTCTAGAAGTTACATTCAAATCATTATGTTTTATTTAACTCCAAATTTTAAGACAGTAGCAATCCTCAGTTTTAGAAAAAAAATCAGAGTTTCTGATGAGCAAAACTCTATTCCATGGAAAACTATCTTTTCCGTATTAACAACATTTGTTAAAGAGTGCTTAATCCTCACACGGGGCTCTGCGTGATAGCCATTGGACTATAGGAGCAGAAATCGAGCTGTAAAGATTTAACCAACCCTATTGTATCGTTGCCCAGGAATGAGTGTCAACAATGATCCATGATCCCCCACCTCATCCATGTCCCATTCTCCCTCATCCCAGACCCCTCCTGGGATATAGACTTATGCTCAGAATCTTCTCCCTATAAGCCACCACCTTGCCCTGGCAACTATCCTGGCCACAGTTGACAGAGGAAAACAGGGAAAACTGTTTTCATGTCAGTGGCAGTGCTGGAGCAGAATCTTTCTACCTCACCATAGCACCATGTTATTTGCAGACTTTATCCCTGGACCTCTGTAGTGTTTACCATTTCCCTCTGGACCTTCATGGCTCTTAAGAAGGTACAGGAGAAATGGTGACATTGTTCATGCTTCATGGATTTCCATGCCTAAGTTACCTATGCCTTGTGCTTCTTTTTCTAGTTTTCTAACTTCTTTAACCTAAAAAATAAAGACATCTGAGACACAGAGTTATATCGTTTCCAAGAACAGAAAATAAACAAAGCTAAGGTTCTTCTGCCTGAAGAGTATGAATAATTGATACAAATAAATAAGTCTCTAACCTCTATGAACATGACTCAAATTGATTACCTCATTTTGCTGCAGGTTTATTTAAATAGAACCATCTACCAAAAGAGGTTGAGAGCCCAACTGAACATTGGGATACTCCTATCAGTGTGGTTTCATTTCAGCTGTTCAAAAGGATTTGCTTTGTCCTAATAGGCATTATACTTATTGGAGATTTCATGTTTTGTAGTAATTATAAGATGAATGCTTAATAGGTTGATTTTGAAGGTTGAATCTAAGGTCTTGTATAAAGGCAACCTTTTGAATGCACAGAAATGATAAGACTCTGAAGTACCTGTTTATATACTTAGCTGAAACATAAAGGTACTTTAGAGAAAATACTTAGGCAAGAGAGGAATGTGTCATTTGAGAAAATGTGTTAATTAGAGCTTAATTATCTAGCTCACAAAGTTAACAAATTAGCCTCTACAGAGTGTGTTTCTCATGTGCAACTTCTAAAAGACAATTATGCCCAAGAAATGTGTGCCTGTTGTGCAGAGTGCAGCCCCAGACCAGGTACCTGGAAGATGAGATTAGCTGTCGCTTGCCTGCTGGGAGGCAGTGCAGTAATGACTTGGTTTTAACAGTTTTATTATTCTTTTTTCTTATTTTAAATGATCATGTTTACAAATGCAGTGATGGCAATAGGACAGCATACTGTTCAAATTAGATGGACTGGAGTAATTTAAGAAAATAAATTGTCCCCTTAAGAAAGTTCAGTCGAGTTAGGTTGACACTCTACTCTCTTCTGCTAACCCATCACAATTCCCTGTTTTGCTTACTCTCACACGCTGATAACTTTTCCTCTGCAACTATAGGAACGCCACCTTTCAGTGAGCTCAAACACTATCCACAAGCATACCTTGCTATTATTGAACACAGTTACTGGTTGGACCTTTCAGGTATAACATGAGAAATGGTAGGTTATGATTCATTTCTTTTTTCACCAAAGACTTTTGAAAACCTTAGAGAACCAAGAAAAATTACTGTTATTTTACAAATAATATCAGTTATCATGTATTGAATTCTTATATTGTCCCAACCACTTTAAGAACTGTCTCATACATACTGTTTTGCTCCTTACAAAAACCTGTGAAATACTATTATTATCCTCATTTTTAGATGAGGAAACTGAGGGTCAGCAAAGACAATGCATTGCCCGAGGCCTTACAACTGGAAAAATCCAGACCCAGATTTCACCCAGTTCTTTCTGCCTTCTTCCCTGTAAACAGATTGAAATAGGGTGACAAAGGTAGAATGCCTTTGAATAGAAGAGATGACATTTAAGAGGTTTTTTTTTAATAAGAAGAAACATCCATCTAGTAACTTAACTTTTTCTTTCTTCTTTTTGTAATATGTAGAAAAGCTTTTGTTGGGCTTCTTTAAACAGTCAGTATAAATAACAAAACTTTAACTACATACTTGCTGTGCTGGACAGTAAATAACTTGCTATATTGGAGTTGCTCTAGATTTGGAAGAGAGTTAAAATTATAACCAAGAAAATGAGAGTCTGATTTCAGATATTCCAGATATCGAAGGAGTGTCACCAAGAAGAGCACTCCCAGGAGGGCTGCACAGGTACTATGAACTAGGCCAGAGGATCTTGGCCATGTTGGCCTTTCACCAGGCAGGTAGAGAGTTGGAAGCAAAGCAATTATCACAACAGTAGAAAAGGAGTAAACATGTTTGTGTGTCTGCTGCAAATGACAGAATACCTCAGGCCCAATTTGCATATAAGTAAATTCTTCTAATTGATGGGATCTTGATTTCTTCATGATCACTACTAAGAATGAAGTGGAAGACATCACTGACATGGAGCACGTGGGACTTATGAGACAACCTCCTCTGTACCTTTGTGGTCTTGTTGGTGCTGATGCTTCTTTCAGCACACGTCATCCATTCCACAACCCATGAAGTTTTTACTGAATTGCAGTTCTTTGTTTTGTATCATAGACATAGAAATATATGCTGTTGTTTATGCATTTAGTTTGAAAGACTACTTTTTTACTCAGAATGTATTAATAACTGTCTTAGTCTGTTAGGGCTGCTATAACAAAATACAGTCTTGTGTCGCTTAATGACCAGGATACATTCTGAGAAATGTATCATTAGAAGCTTTCGTTCTAGCCAGGTGCAGTGGCTCACCCCTGTAATCCTAGCACTTTGGGAGGCAGAGGTAAGAGGATTGCCAGAGTCCAGGGGTTTGAGACCAGCCTGGGCAACTTGGTAAGACCTCGCCTCAACAATAAATCAGAAAATTAGCTAGGTGTGGTGGCATGCACCTGTGGTTCCAGCTACTTGGAAGGCTGAGGCAGAGGATCACCTGAGCCCAGCAGGTCGAGGCTGCAGTTAACATGTCACTGCACTCCAGTCTGGATGACTCCAACTCAAAAAAAGAAGAAGAAGCAGCTTTCATCTTTGTGTGACCATCACAGAGTGCACTTACATAGACCTAGATGGTGATCTAGCCTACTACACATCTAGGCTGTATGGTATAGACTATTGCTCCCAGACTGCAAATCTGTACAGCATGTTACTGTGCTGAATACTGTAAGCAATTATAACACAATGGTAAGTATTTGTGTGTCTCAACATAGAAAAGGTACAGTGAAAATACAGTAGAAGAAAATGTGGAAGGCTGAGGTGGAAGGATGGCCTGAACCCAGCAGGTCGAAGCTACGGTGGTCATGAGTGTGCCACTGCACTCCAGCCTGGGTGACAGTGAGACTCTGACTAAAAAAAAAAAAAAGTGATAACACTTGTGTGAGGCACTTACCATGGATGGAGCCTGCAGTATGGACATTGCCCTGGGTGGCTCAGTTGAGTGAGTGGGGAGGGAATGTGAAGGCCTAGGACATGACTGTACACACTATAGACTCTTAGGCTACAGTAAATTTATTTAAACTTTTTTTCTTCAATAATAAACTCAGCTTACTTAACTTTTTTTTTTTTTTTTTTTGAGTTGGAGTCTCACTCTGTCGCCCAGACTGGAGTACAGTGGCCGCTCCCGGCCACCGCAGCCTCGACCTGCTGGGCTCCGGCGATCCTTCCGCCTCAGCCTTCCAAGTAGCCGGAACTACAGGCATGCGCTACCATGCCCGGCTGAGTTTTTGATTTATTGTAGAGATGAGGTCTCGCTGCCCAGGTGGGTCTCGAACCCGCGGGCTCAGGCAATCCACTCACCTCAGTCTCCCAAAGGCGCGGGATTACAGGCTGAGCCATGGAGCCCGGCACTTACTGTACCTTAATTACTTTATAAACATTTAATTTTTTAAACTTTTTGAGTCTTTTGTAATAAAACTTAGTTTAAAACACAAGCACAGTGTATAGCTGCACAAAATATTTTCTTTCCTTTTCTTTTCTTTTTTGAGTTGGAGTCTCACTCTGTCGCCCAGACTAGAGTGCAGTGGCCGCTCCTGGCCACCGCATCCTCGACCTGCTGGGCTCCGGCGATCCTTCCACCTCAGTCTTCCAAGTAGCCGGAATTACAGGCATGCGCCACCACGCCTGGCTGAGTTTCTGATTTATTGTAGAGATGAGGTCTCACTGCCCAGGCGGGTCTCGAACCCATGGGCTCAGGCAATCCACTCACCTCAGCCTCCCAAAGGCGTGGGATTACAGGCTGAGCCACTGAGCCCGGCGCTTACTGTAACTTAATTACTTTATAAACATTTAATTTTTTAAACTTTTTGAGTCTTTTGTAATAAAACTTAGTTTAAAGTACAAGCACATTGTACAGCTGCACAAAATATTTTCTTTTCTTTTTTTTTTCTTTTTTTGAGTTGGAGTCTCACTGTCACCCAGACTGGAATGCAGTGGCTGCTCCTGGCCACTGCAGCCTTGACCTGCTGGGCCCTGGCAATCCTTCCACCTCAGCCTTCCAAGTAGCTGGAACTACAGGTGCGCGCTACCACGCCTGGCTAATTTTTTTTTTTTTAATTTATTGTAGAGATGAGGTCTCGCCAAGTTGCCCAGGCGGGTCTCGAACCCGTGGGCTCGGGCAATCCACTCACCTCAGCCCAAAATATTTTCTTTATGTCTTTACTCTATAAGCTTTTTTTTTTTTTTTTTTGAACTTTTTCTTAGAAACTAAGACACAAACTACCCACATTAGCCCTGCACAGGGCCTGCACAGGGTCAGGACCATCAACATCACTGTCTTCTACCTCCATATCTTGACCCACCGAGAGATCTTCAGGGGCAATAACAGGCATCTCGATGTCTTCTGGGATACCTCCTGAAGAACCTGCCTGAGGCTGCTTTACAGTTAACTTTTCTTTCATAGGTAGTAGGAGGCATATACTCTAAAATAATAGTAAAAAGTGTAGTGCAGTAGATGCAAAAACGAGTAGCAGCGCCATTTATTATCAAGTGTTATGCACTGTACAAAATTGCGTGTGCTAGACTTTTATACGACTGACGGCACAGTAGGTTTGTTTACACCAGCCTCACTGCAGATGCGTGAGTGATGCATGGCACTAGGACATTACATCAGCTACCACATCCCTGGGCAACAGGAGTTTTTCAGCTCCATTATCATCTTATGAGACCACCATTGGATATGGGGTGTGTCATAGACTGAGACGTCATGACGTGGCACATGACTGTACCTTAAACTGGGTAATTTATAAACAACAGTTCTCGAGCCTCAGAAGTCCGAGGTCAAGGTACCAGCAGGCTTCGTGTCTGGTGAGGGCCTGTCCCTCCTAGATGGCACATTCCATGTGTCCTCACAAGGTAGAAGGGGCGAGGGAGCTCACACCAGCCACTTACTAAAGGCACTGATCCTGTTCATGAGGATGGAGCCCTTGTGGCCCAATCACTCCCCAGAGGTCCCATACCCTACTGCTATCACGTTGGAGGTTAGAATCCAACCTAAGAATTTTGGGGAGACGCCAACATACAGACCATAGCAAAAGCCAAAGGACATAGTTTTAGTGAATCTGGTATCGGTTCACTTTAAGTTAGAGCTAACATCACTCTTTTGCAACTTGCAGGGCCTGTAACTCAGTGTTCACAGCATTAGACCACTGCCATGAAGCCATCGAAATAACAAGCGATGACCATGTGATCCAGGTATGGACAGAACCTCTTTTCATCATTACCATAAAAATAAAATCTGTCAGGTCGGAACTATATTTTTTTCAAGTACTTTCCCATAATTATCACATATCATCACATTTTTTTTTCAGGAGGAAGTAAAATCAGACTGTGCAAAGAGTACTGATAGAATAAACCTAAGAATTAGCTATTCGTTACAAAATAAGAAAGTATTACTTCAGATCAAACCTGCCATTTATTTGACAGAGATGGGTTAAATTCTTTGGGTCATCTGTGAAGACACTATTTACACAGAGGTAAATCAGAATTGTAGAGTAAATGCTTTTAAATGCCTATGGGAACAAATATTTTCAAAGACACTCATTTGTTTGCCTGAAGTTGATATTCTAATTATAAAGCACTCTTACACAGTGTCACCTTCCGAAGGAAGAGTGTGTAGTAGACAGACCTTTGTTGACACGGCTGGAAAGGAAGATGTCTATGTTTTAGAATACTTTGAAAATGTGGACTTTCTGCTCGTTGGTACTGACCGGACTGCAGTTGGTTTTCAGAGTGACATGGAGTGTGAGGAGCACTTGCTGTCATCAGTAGGACACCAAAGTCAGCAAGTGACACACAATGAACCCCACGATCGAATCCTCATGCCTGTCTGTTCCGAAACCCCTGGCACATATCAGACACACCCTGCACTCAGACCAGATCAGTAACATCATCTGCCTGTCATACCCAGGCCTTGTCATCTGCACTTCTAGTAGGTCACCTAATTTCCATGCAGTAAGGCTGTGAAAGAGACACGATTTCCCTATGGTACACATGAAGAAACTGAGACCTAGCAAGGTCAAAAAAATTATCCAAGGAAAACCCAGTAATAAGTCCTGGAACCAAAGTATGTAGCCATGTCTTCTTTATAGCCTTCCTAGCTGTTTCCTGTTCAGCTGTATTTTTAGAATGTGTTTCTTCGGCTGCCCCTTGAGATGTACACGAAGGCTTCCTTCTGTTGCTGGCTGTTATGGTCTCACCTGCCCATGGGTCTGCCTCCCAGACGGCAGAGAGAGCCAGCTGTTTCTGTTATAGACCCATCATGAATCCCACATCTCCCCAGTTGAACAGCCAATGGAACAGCCAGTTCTGTTCATGAGGCAGGTCTATTTTGCACCTCCCTGTCTCGCGGTGGACAGCTGGGTTGTGGCTTCAGCAATGAGGAGAGGGGGCTCCTGCCCACTGGCTGCCTTCTCTACTGTGATCTTACAGGCGTTTCCTCGAGTAGGGAACCGAGTCCTGCATTCCACAGTCAGCAGCTGGTGGTTAGATAGCCATGACCCTAGGAGAGGTGGTGTAGTGATGGGGTTGCAGTGTGATATTCATCCTCTCTCCACCATTGCCATGGACAGAAAGAAATGGGCCCAAGGCCAGCAGGTGCCTGTGAAGAGGAGATGTAGAGAGAATCACTGCACTGAAAGGGAACTTGATTCTGAAAGAAGACCTTACAGGCTTTTTTTCCTCAGGGAACCTCTTCATGCTCATTTAAAAAATGCACCCATAATCAGTAATATAAAACTTAAAACATGAGGGAGAAGGAAGAAGCTGACTAGAGGATGCTACATGTAAGGGGCACAAAAAATGACCTTTGTGCTCTGGAGCTTGAGGATGCGTCGTCATGGGTGGGATGTTTCCTGCATGCGCTTCCTTATGCCCGTGTCCTTCCTTATGCCATGCCCTTCTTGGGGCATGCCAGCTGGAGGGTGGGGGGCTTCTTTACCAGCACAGATCTTCAGAGGTTGGGTAACAGAAGCAGCATCTGTCTGTTGAGCTAGCTACTCCTCCATCTCTCCTTCCTTTCCTCTCTCCCTCCTTGTCTCCATCTATCTAAACTATTGATCTGTATATTCGCTTCGAAACACGTACCATATGCCCAGCCCAATTCTAAGCATTGCACACATACTCATTTATTTCTTAGAGCAGTCCTATGTGTCAGGCATTACCACTGTATTCATTTTGCAGAGGAGGAGACTAAAGACCAGTTAAGTAATTTGTCCATGGTTTTGTAGCTGGTGATTGTCAGAGCCAGGATTTGAACTCAGGTGCCTTGGCTCCATAGACCATGGCCTGTAGGACCTGCTGTGTCCTGAGGTTACAGGAGCTCTGGCATGAAAGACGGGCCATAATTTCTACCTGTATTTATAACAGAATAAACACATATGAAAAGGAATGAGAATGTCACTGACAAATAAGGAAAGCGACATACTCTGCAGTCTTTTCTATTCATTCATTAAATATTTACTAAGCAGTCCTGAGTCTCCACAGAAAAATCCCAAATAGCTTTTGCCCTTGAGGATTTCAATGTCTAGGGGGAGAGAGGGATAAATAAAAATTTAATTTCCATGTGAGAAGTCACTAGAAGCCTGCACAAAAGTCAGCGGCAGCTCTGTGGACTGGGCAGGGGAGTCACGGAAGGCTTTCTAGAGGAGAAGAGGAATAAGCTGGAGTTGGTAGGGAGAGGCGTGGAAGGACATCTTAAGCAGAGAGAGAACTCTTGGAGAGAGGCCAGAGACAACGGAGCTGTGCAGACCACCCAACAGCTGGAGTGGGCCAGGGAGGTGGGGCAGCCTGGTGTCCTCAGGCCACTCTGGGGCCACTCTGTAAGTAGTGCCTGTCCTGACTGGGGAGAGCACTGCTGGGGCCAGGAGGGCGTCTTAAGATCTATGAAGACAATGTCACAACCCCCCATCTCCAGCCACCCCAGGAGGCATGACGGTCAGAGCACCACCCGACACCTCAACTCCCGGGTTAGTCAGGCTCATGGGGGCTGTGTCTCCAAGTGTCTCTGTGTCACCCAGCTCATGACTGCTGTCACCCCAGTCCAGGGCAAGTGTGGTTAAAGCTGGCAGGACCCTCTCTGAAGCTGCAGATGGGTGTATATTATGCCCAAAGAAACCCAGGACCCAGAGGCAGTGTGCCCTCATTCCTCACCTCCCTCGTGGCTTGTCCCCTCCACTCAACCCCCTTCTCTGTTCTTTGAAAAGAAATGGGGGTGGAGGGTGGGAGAGGACCTGGGAGTTAGCGAAAGTGTGACGGCTCTGAATTCCAGAAGCCCGAGCAGAATTGTGGAAAGAAACCTCTGAATCTGCTAGTCTCAGAACGTGTGGGTGGCGCGTCCTGCTGGCTGTACCCAGCACCAAGAGGGCTGCCTCCTGCCCCGGCCATTTGACCAGAAGTGGCCCCAAACCATAGCATTGATTCATAGATGGTGGCAGTGGGAAAGGAGATGTGAGAAACCCAAGTGCTGCTGTGTAGAGATGTGAGAAATATAAGCCACAACCTGTTGAATTGAATTCTAATGTCTGTTTTTTATATATTTATGTGCAAACCTTTTTGAATTTTCTATTTTGATCGAAGGAGTACATGTGCAGGCTTTTACATGGGAATGTGGTGTGATGGTGAGGCGTTGGACTGCTGTTGAGCCCTTCACCCAGGTGGTCTAATTTCTTCTGATTTGTTTTGCTCTGAGAGTTTCCTTATTTGTGGAGCAGTAGATGGTATGTGAGGCCCCCAGAGGCTGGTACAGCTAGGTGAGGGCTTCCTGCTCTTTTCCTGCTCGAGGGGTCTTCTGATTTCTTGCGAGGGGTCTTCTGATTTCCTGCGGAGACTGGGATGGCTGTGAGTGAATAAGTTGCTGCCGGGAGGGAGGCAGCTACTCCAGGAGGCGATTGGGGATGGAGTGAGGTGGAGGGGCCTGGCCAGCACCTGTGTTAGAAAGCATCTGTATTAGAAAGCCCCGATGTCTCCTGGGTCCTATGAGCATTCCTACAGGGCGCGCAGACGCCTCATGATTCCACCTGGTGTCCCAAGCTTACCTGTCCCCACTCCCGTTAACAGTATGTCAACCCAGCCTTCGAGAGGATGATGGGTTACCGCAAGGGCGAGCTCCTGGGAAAAGAACTCGCCGATCTGCCCAAGAGTGATAAGAACCGGGCAGACCTTCTCGACACCATCAACACGTGCATCAAGAAGGGCAAGGTGGGTTGCGCCAGCCCAACCAGCCCACAGACCCCTCCCCAGGGCTTTTTTTTCTGTGAGTTTTAAAGTTTATCCTTATGATAGGCTTCCGTAATCATATTATATTTAAGTGAATAATGTTATATTTGTGTTTGCAAAATGAGGTCATTCTTTAGTTAATTTCAGATTTCAAGTGAATCTGGTGCTTGCCCTGATGGTTTGGTATGAGGACATCTCATCCTTTGCATGACTGTATCCCACCTGTCGCTGCTGGAGTATCTCAGCTATCTTTGAGCAGAGCAGAGAGTGGTGATGTTTATTCAGTTTAGCCAGTAAACGTTTAGGGGACTAGAAGTATCAACTGTCAGTATTTACAGCTAGGCCCGGGGTTTAGCCAGTTTTCCCTGCTTGTTCTCTGTGCCCATCACCACTCAACACACACGTAGCTTTCTTCTGGTCACACCTGTCCAGTAACTTCCCCTTCCTCTGGGTAGATGGAGGTACCGGTGGAAGTGGAGTGGTATCCTTTCCTCCAGCCCTGTGCTCCAGAGTGGTGCTGGCTCTCCTGATTGGAACTGCCTGTATGTTTTTTGTTAAGCATTCAGAATACTCCCTCACCTATATCTTCCATCTTCCTTTCTCTGGTGTGAAGTAGTATAAGCATCACATTTATTTAACAGAGGGGACATTTTACAGGGATAGGATAAAATTGTATTGTAGATGGCGGCCATTTTGTTGTTGTTTTTTTTGCTGGGGCAATGGGACTGGAAACAAGACGTTATAAACTGCTCCCTTAAAAAATTGCCAAAAGAATACAGCCACACGTTTGGTGACCCCAATGTGTATGGCAGTTAGCCACATTAAGTGGGGGGGGGGCAAACAATGGCTGTAGGTGATCTCGGTTTCTGATTTTACCACTCCTCCCAGAACTAGTAGAGTCACCCCAAGGCTCTTCTGAGTTCCCCCCCCAGCTCTTTTTTTCCAGCCAGATCCCAGGGTTCAGAGGTAGCAGAGATCTTCCTTCATCCATGGGGACTTCAGGGAGTCTACCCAGCCCTAGGGAAACCTTGGCTGGGAGACCCCAGGATGTTAGAAAGATGGTGGACTTGAGGGAGAGTCAGAGAGACACACATTTATAACCAGTTCTCCTGCTTCCTAACATGAGCAACTTGGTTAGACTCTCTGAGCTTCACTTCACCCATCTGTGAGTTAAGGATGATAACATCAAGCTCACAGGTTGCGATGCAAACTTTGAGGGAGACCTCAGCAGAATTCCGTGAATTGGTGCCATGACACCCACAGGGCTGAGAGGAGAATTCTACCCATGGGTCAAATGTCCTGAAACCCAGGACAGACCGCGTGGTAGTGGACATGTTCATCTGTGGTCTTCATGCACTGTGGCCACATCAGCATGGTGGTGGGTGCAATGGTACAGCAGGGGTTTGTGAAGTGTGATGAAAGCATATGGGAACTTTATTAGCCTGCTGGGATCCTCTGTAGGAACAGTGGTGAGCCTTGACTGAAGGATGCTAAGAGCACTCTTTGTCCATGTAGGAGTGGCAGGGGGTTTACTATGCGAGACGGAAATCCGGGGACAGCATCCAACAGCATGTGAAGATCACCCCAGTGATTGGCCAAGGAGGGTGAGAGCAAACTCTTCCCATCTTTTAGCTGAAGATGACAACTCGGCCCTTATGGGCATTGGGCTTGCATGCTGAAACGCCAGTGTAGGTCTTGGAGCCACAAGTACAGTAGGGTTGTGTGTACGTAATATATTCGCAGGTTTCCTCCACCTGGCCTGCAGCAACTCCCACATGTGACTTCCCTCCCCTTGGCCTCTCCTGCCGTGGACTTTTATGAGCATCACCCAACTCGCCAACTGCCCTCCACCTCCTGATTGTCTTTGGTTCCATTGTTCCCAGCGCCCTGTAAAGGAGCTCCACTCTAAGCTTCCTTTTCCTGTCACCACAAACGATCTCTAGCCAGGGCTTGTGGCCTCAGCCCTCAGTCCACAGGGAGCCAGCCCTTCTTCCTTCTGGAGGTCCTGCTCGCTGCTGGCAGCTCTGAGCTCATTCCCAAGAGACACCAGAGCCCTGAAAGTCACTGGTTATAGAGAGAAAGCTTGTCTGACCAGGAACTGAGGGCTCTGATTCCACTGAGCATCAGATTGCCAGAGAAATCTATCTGTTTTGTGAAGTGATATGCAGGTCCTTTTCCTCCCTCGTACCTTCCTACCCCCTGCCCCCCCCGACTAAATTTTGTGAGAAGGTTTGCAGAACCAGGCAGGATCCCCTAACAACACATGGCTGATAAGCCTTTGGAAACCAACCAGAAGGTCCATAGTTTGGGCTTCTAAGGGACATAACATTGTGTGACCTTTACTTACAGTGGTGATCTTGCCAGCAATGAATGGGAGAGTCCTGCTATGACTCAAGCCCACTGGGCTTCTTGCAGATGGCTACATGTTAGAAAGCTAGGCGTTTCACACATGCAGGCAAATGCTTGTCAAGTGTTTCCTCCAATTTTGCTTGTTTGCCTGGTTTCAAAATTGCTCCCTTTCAGCTCAGAGATGTCTTCTGGGTATTTCATGCCATTCTGTCACTTGTGGCTCCCCACTGCTGCACTCTGGAGGGCGGGGGCACCCAGACCCCTGCTGAGGGTGAAGAGCCACGGAGAGGCCACCTAGGTCCTCCCCCGCCATCGGCCTCACATGGCCATCCCACTGGCAGGCGGCCTTTGGAGCCACAGGAGGGAGCTCATACCAGTGGCGGCCATGTTTTTCTCATCATCCTTTAACTATCCTCTCAGAGAATGGAAGCTAAGGATCACTTTTGTGTGTGTGTGACCAGAATCATTAGATACCAAAGCAGAGGAGACACGCTACTGCCTGGTAATGTCCATCAGAATACATTTTTCTGATCTTTCTGATTTTACAGATAAGAGAAAGAAATTCTTTTGTCCAGACACAATTTCCAGTGTTATTTTTCCCCGATTGTAGTAACAGTGAGCTATCTGAGGCAATTCTTTTTAAAAGTAGGGAAATTCCATCTCTCCCTATTTGAATGAAACTCATTTCAAAATAACCAGTATTTTTTATGCTTACTTCAGAGTCCTCCAGAGAAAAGTGAATGGGGGAGGGGGTGGGGGGAGTGGGGGGAAGAGAGAGAGAGAGAGAGAGAGAGAGAGAGAGGATTCAGAGGTTTCTGGGGCATGAAGACTGACATGACTCTCTGGATTTTATGGCTGCATGCTCAGCTGGAAAAAAAATCTACCTTGAGCTTATTTTTGTATAGCACTTGAGGCACCTGTACACTTTTGCCTGGTATTCCTGGTGATAATGACATTGAACAAGACCACCGGCTGAGTTTTAGGAGCCAGTCCATGACCTTGAAATAAGAGAATTTTTCTCTGCCTGAAAAATCCCATTATGATGACAATTATAGTGTGAAAGAATATGGAATACTTAATATAAAAACAGTGACCATAAAATTTGGTTATTATCTAAATGAGTCTTTTGCTTTTTTGTTTAAGCTATAAAATTATTAGTGTCAGCAGAATTAAAACGAAATTGTTTGTAGCAGCATTTTACCCCAACACTGAAGATCCCTAGGAGCCAAACTTCAGGCATCAGTTACAAAATGAAATACCCATTAGGAAGGTGCTTCTGAGCCAGCTGTGATTTATAAGGGAGGCCCAGTTTCCAAAGGCTTGTGTGGGCTCTGTGTGAAAGACGTGTTTTCTGTAGACTGGATTTTGCTTGAATTTTCAATCTGCCCTAGGATGGACCCTAGAGTTTTGCTTTAAGTCTGTTGATGTTTTTATTTGCTGACTTGTTGAATCATCTCATATCTGACTCACTAATAACTGATTATTTGTGTTATTAGGAAAATTAGGCACTTTGTCTCCCTCAAGAAACTGTGCTGTACCACTGACAATAATAAGCAGGTATGGTATCCAGCTCGCTCCATCTGCCTTGTCAGCCTGGCCATGCGACGCCACCGCTCTCTGCTTATCTTTCTCCATTTTGAATTGTAGTTGCCAATTAAGAAGGCTTAAGGGGAAATTAGTTTCCTCTGACAATTTTTTTTTTAATTTCCCTGCAAGCCTACATGACTATATTAGTAGTGTACATCAGTCATGATTTAGCTTGTGGCTGAGCAACCCTCTAGACTAATGTATTTGATGAGAGCATAAAATTCTTCCTCCAAATAAAAAGTGTCCCACTTTCTAATCTTAATTTTTTTTACACAAATGAAAAGAATATATCCATTGAAGCCATTTCACCCCTACAAATTCATATCGAAAACAAGAACATTCCAAATTCATACTGTGACTTTTTTTTTAACCCTTACATCATACAAAACAATACATTTGAATGTTGTCTCCTGAAGTAACAGAATTTTAATAACTTGCTGTACTTAGGAACTTTTATTTTTTTTATTTTTTTATTTTTTTTTTGAGTTGGAGTCTCACTGTCGCCCAGACTGGAGTGCAGTGGCCGCTCCTGGCCACTGCAGCCTCGACCTGCTGGGCTCCAGCGATCCTTCCGCTAACTTTTAAAGGTAGTTTTATAATATGAAACAACATTTACATAGGTCTTTAAAATTTGATTTGTACTTTTACTCCTGGATTATGTGTATTTTCACTTCACACATTATAATGTGTAGATTTAAAAGTGTGCAACAGAAAATATTTACCAATGATTTGTTTTTAAAATGTGTACAATACGGCCTTTGACCTTGATGCAGATTTTAAATAAGGGGCAGTGTCTCTAAGGGATCTCAAGGTGCTCTGTAAACGCCCAACCCATTTTAGTTGAGGGTGGCAGAGGCTGGTGAAGTGCCAGATGAGCCGGCGAGGCCTGGCCACGCAAGGAGACAAGCCGGGCCCACAGGACATGAGGAGACAGCAGGAGAGTCCCGAGAGACCCCCGAGGGACTTCCAGTCAGTCATCTCAGGACATCAAGAGATCCACCACCCTGTGCTTTTTCATCAGATTTAATCCAACACACAATGCTTCCTGATTCAGCACTGAGAATTTCATCTGAAATCAGGAAACTTTCAGTTAATACAATAAAGTCGTGCAAGAGGCAAGTCCTTGGAGACCTCCGGATAAGGAAAGGAATGGACCTCTACAGAAAAAAAAAAAAATTCTTCCAACAGCTGAGTTAAGACATGCCAGGGGATGAATGAGTCCGTGTGAGAGGTGACACAGGCGGAGTGAGAGGGGCAGGAAAACTTGGGAGCAACCTTAGAGACAAACTTCTGAACACAAGAGAGCAGACCGGCATTTCTGAGCTGTGGATCCACCATGGAGGACACACATCTGCTCAAGCTCCTTTGTTCGCATGCCAGAATCATCCAAGCACAGCTCATGTCCAAAGCCAAGCACCTGCTTCCCCCACCAGTTTAGTCTTACTTCTCCTCCTCTCTTAATGGAGACCCCCAATCTCCTTGTCACCAGCCTCCCTACAACTCCACGTGCACAAATCCTACCAGTTCTTCATGGTCCAGCCCAAGAAACATAAGTACTACCTCCCTACTCGAGGCCTTCAAAGCACCTTCTCTCATATCTGACTCGCTAATTACTCCCCACCGCTATCATAGCGATTTGTGTGCTAGCCCACCCTCTCTTCTTGAGCAGGGTCACTGGTCTGTACCTATATGTGTGCCTGTGCTGCCTGGCACACAGTAGCCTCTCAAGCAGTTGGTTAGCATGAATAACATTGAACATCAGTCCTTGCCTCCTGCCAGCTGTAAGTCCTTCCTGCCTGGAGAGGAAGGGGAGAGAGCAGGTAAGCCCTTACTTAGCGCAGGACATCAGGATGCAGAGGCACGGGCTGCCTCTTCTGTTTGAGGTCTCAAATAGAAATACCTTCACTACCAAAAATCAACTGCTGCTCTGAGACAGTGGAGAGCTCAGCTGCCCTGAGCCATCAACATCACCTCATGGTAGTGCACAGGCCTGGGAGACACTTAGATTTCCCAATAACACAGCATTTTTATCCCTCTGGCTAGCTACAGTGTTTTTCCTCCTCATCGAAGGAGTCTGCAGGGAACAGCAGTGGAATCTGTGCCGGGGAGGGCTCCTGTTTGCAGGCGGTTCTGGTGACACTGCCTTTTGGGGTTTAGCCTGACGTCAAAACCGGCCTGTGGGTTTGCATTTTAATGAGAAATGATGCTGTCTTCGGGTGGTGTCTGCCACCAGCAACAATCTCTTTCCCCACGTGGGCACTGTAGCTTTTTGCCAAGAGACTGGAAATGTTCAATGAGGTTTGTCTGCTGCAAACATCATCTCCCCTCCACCACACACACACACTTTCTGCCCAGACTTGCGTGAAACACCTGTTCCGTGCTGACACCAGGGATGCAGTGCATCTGCCCAGAAGCCGTGGGGATCACAGACAGGCCAACAGGATAAACAGAGTGCAGCCCTGGAGAAGGACCCAAAGGGGCAGATTGGGGTTTTTTTTTTAAGTATCATCCAGGACAGGGGGCAACAAACTACATCCTGCAGGCCAATTGTGACCTGTTTTATAAATAAAGTTTTATCAGAACACAGCCACCCTCTTGTGCATGTTGTGCCTGTGGCCACCTCATAAAATGTGGCAGAGCTGAGTTGTTCCGGCAGAGGCCATGTGGCCTGCAGAGCCTAAATGTGGACTATCTCACCCTTTAAGAAGAGATCTGCCCGCCCTGTTTCTTGAAGACTATTTTCTTTCTTGACTGTCCCTCTTTCTTAGACCAGCAACAGTCTGCCCAGACCCCGCAGAAGGACACCTACTCCTGTGATAGGCCTCACTGGGTCCCTTTGCCTTCAGTCAGCTTCAGCATCCTGTCTCAAAGCCTGTTTGGGACTCTCCTACTGATACAGATGTGAGGACCTAGAGCTTCAGTGGTTTTTGCCTTTTCCCAGGGTCAAAATCCAAATCCAAATGTGTAATTCAAACTCTGGAATCAGGGATCTTTAATCATGATTCACAAGTCAGACTAGCATAGGAAAAAGGAGGCATTTAGGACCCTGACATTATATCAGCTCCTGTTCTTTCTACTTTTCAGTGTGTCTACTAGAATATTTTGAACTGCTTGTGTGTTTTGCTGTGTGGCTCACACGGTTCTTTGATTGGATGGTCTGGGTTCAGACTTTCCCTCCCTGGCAAAATTCTATCACAGATTCACCTTGCCTGCCCATTTGCAGGTGACAGAGGATGTTGTGACCCATCACACCGTCTAGGTTCTGCCGAGGAGTCAGCTCCAGACTTACTGAGCCCTAGGAAACAACGCTGTGGTTCTTCCCCAGGCACCTTGTGGGGAGAATTTTCTCCTGGGCATGTAAGCAGACCTTTGGGGAAAGTCTTTGTTGGGGAGATGCAGGACCCCTTTCATTCATTCTCAGACACAGAAAGTTTACTGTCACTCTCTAGAGCTCTTTGGTGAACAGTGGGGAGCATCATGCCTCACTAAGCCTACTGGAGCAGTGAACCACAGCCCTCAGCAGTAGGAGCCAGTGAGTGCCATGGACAGTTTGATGCACTCATGTTCCAGTCTTGCCTGCACAACAGAGTGGCCCATTTGAGCTTGTGTGCAGTCTGAGTGTGACAGACGGCTTCCCACCAAGCATCCTTGGGTGAGGCGGGACTGTGCTGACTCACTGCTAGTTGCACCCATGCAGACCCAAGTCACCTGTGCTCAGTACCCCAGGAGAGAGTCAGCCTAGCGCTTTCTTTTCTCCTTCCCTTTTTTATCCATACTCTACTTTCAGTCGCCTCTTGCAGGCCTCCAGACAGTCCATAGATTTCCCATCCCATCCGTACAGCTATTGGGCCATCCTCCCACCAGGGTCTGCCCACTGCCCTCTGTGGCCCATTCTGATACCCACTCCCAGACTGGCCTGTCCTTGGGCTTCATTGCCCCCCCCACATTTGCCCAATTCTCTCTAGCCCCCCACCCTGCCACAAGCCTCTTCTTCCTAGCAGGTGGCTTGGCTGATAGGTCTTCTCCCCCAGCTTGCAACAAAACTGGGCCCTTAGCATGAAGAGAATCTAAGGTCTCTTGGCATTCTCAGCAAAACCAAGAAGAGAGTGGCTGGTGCAGGGAATGAGAGAGAGAGGCATATAGAATGACTTGCTGTTAACTGCTAGGTGACAAAAATAAGTTTTCGATTTGTCCTAAATTCCCATGGTAAAGACCTTTTGCTACTTCCTTGTCCTTTAGAACTCAGCTCAGCTCCCCCCCGCCACTCAAGAAGTCTTTCAAGCCTGCCACTTGTGACTGTATCCCCCAAACAGGTGACAGTGGAGCTTTTTGTCTGCATCACCCATTGGACCATTCATTCTACAGTGCTTTGGGTTGTTCTGGTTGTGGGTGGGCAATGTCTTTTTGTACTCCCTACTGTGTGTGCACAGCAGACATAGTTTCATATTCTGGAAACTAATGTTTACTCCTTAACACAACAGCCTTTGGAAGGCATGGAAATTAAAGATGCAGCTTCTTTCTTGTCCCAAGGTATCATTCTATGTAGAGTTTTCATCTGTGTGTAGCCAATATATGTCTCACATGCCATTACAGAAATATTTGCCATCCTCTTCCAAGGCACACACCCAAGTGTGATGTTTTAGGAAAAAACCTGGAGAAAAGAGCTACTCCAGCTGGAAGCATGACCTCAGCTATCTCTAAAAGCAGCTGGCCACATTTAGAAATGTGTCTTATGGAATTGGTATGTTATCATTTAGAAATATGTTTTATGGAATTGGTATGTTATCATGATACAGAGGTTGTATACAGCTACCTCACTCACAGCAGGTGCCTCCAAATATTTGTTGATATGTTTGGTAAACCCACTCAGTAAACAAATTATCCAGATTTTTTCCATTTATCTTTAGTAGATATTTACAAGAAACTATTTAAAGAGAGGCTGCCAATATTGCAAAGCCATATTTTTTTCA